ACTGGGGTGTATATGAGGAAGAGGGTCGGCCCTGATAGTTTCAAAGTCTAGGGGCAGATAAGTCATAATGGACCTAATTTAAAAGAAATGGAAAAATATCGTTTTGTCAAATCTAATGCATAACGATAATACTTCAAAATTTGTAATAATAAGGAAAAGACTTTTATAATTCTCCATATTAAACAAGTAATACGAAATTTAGAGAATTTAAAACTATCACATGCAAAATCACAATTTAATTACACAACAAATTTTAACTAAAAAAGGGAAAAACATATTCCCAATTTCAGTATTATAAAAATAGTATTAATACTCCATCCGTAATTTCTAATGATTTGAAAGTCAACTTTCTTGGTTAATACAGTTTCACTTTATCAACTTATTTAACGTATCAAATTTTTATTATTTTCCAGTTTGGATTCTTCGACTTTATAGAACTTTTAATGTAATTTCTAAATATGTAAATTTTAAGTATTACAATTGGTTTAAGTATCCACACGGATGATTTAGTTTTAAATTCGCAAATTATAACTCAATTTGGTACGGAAGAAGTATACTCGGAATTCACGATTTCACCAATAGCTCAACATCACAATTCACAACAATATAATCAATAACTAATCCACGAAAATGTAAATTCATTAAAAACTAAAAAAAGGTGAAAAGCTATGATAACTGATTGATCATGAAATAAGTAAGAGCACAAATGCAAAATATATAAGGACATAAGAGTATTAATAAGAGATATAGAGGACTAGAGATAGTTAGAAGTTGGATTCTGATATTCAGATCATGAAGGACAAAAGGCTCAAGGAATTGATGTATCTACTATCTACTGATGGAAGTTTATGATGAGGAATTGAAATTTGGAATATTGAGGTTTGAACTTTGGAATTGCAGTTTAGTAATAGGCACAAGCCCGACGGAGAGTCCGTCTTGCTTTTATTTAAAATTGTTTATAATTTCACAATTCTATTTCCTGGATCGCATGAAATTAGTGAATACGGCTCCAAAACTCAGCTTACTCACTCTTAATACAAAGTCTTATGACCGAGCCTAAATTAATTTTTTACGTATTTTCGGAGCCTAGGGCCAAGGGTGGATCCAGGGGTCAGGGTGGTTAGCCGACCTCATTGAAAGTTTGATAGTATAGAACTCTGAAATATCTTCGATTTGATATATTATGGCCCCCGTAACTCTTTACGTGTAAAATGTTATGACTTATGGAAAATCAGCACTATCTAAACGTAAAAACAGCAAAATTTGATGCATAATATTGATTATTTTTTCAAATTTTAGAAATAACGTATAATTAATTCATTACTATACTTACGTGACATGATTCAGAAACAACCAAAGACAATCTATCTTATTGCTTACGAATGCCTGTTTCTCTAAACTACAAATGTAACATTCAACTCGAACATTGTCCAAAAACGATCTACCATTTTTATTTTGTACATAGATGATTTTCGACCCCTTGACTCATTTTTCTGGCTCCGCCACAGCCGTGGGCCACTGCCCATGCTGCACCCCATGGGGCGGCCCCTGATGAGGGAAAATGTAGTCCATATTTTGTTCCTATCTCGTACGAAAGAATATAGATAAGGTTATTCGGAAACATATACTCCGTATGTCTACAACAAATTTTCTTTGGCGTTCAATTCTTGATCAATAATTTATTACGTACTCCCGGTCAGTGGCGTATCCAGAAACTTTGGCGAGTGGGGGCAAACTTGACTACAATTTAGTCTCATATTTCACAAATAACAAATCACATTATTAATATTGTTTGATTAAATTTAGTTTATAATATCTATGTACAAGTATGAAAAAAAGAAGATTAATTTATATTACGGGTGTGTAAAGATGTAATTGCAAATAAAATGTAATAAATTTACCTAAATATAAGTTAAACAGTCTTAAACATAACAAAATTAAGTGAATTTTTTAGCCTTTCATTCTTTTAATATTAAAGAAAACACTTCTAATCCTATTTTAGAATTTTTTTCTACATTTAACTCTTAATTTGAGCAATTTCTTGTAAAAAATTGGACATATATATAGGGGTTGGGTTGGGGTTGAGTGGGGGCAGTTGCCCCCGCTGCCCCCATAGTGGATACGCCACTGCTCCCGGTCAAGCCTTTGAGATATTTTACCTGCTAGTTTTTGGGGAGGAACTAGGAAGAAGATGGTGAAGTTTATGGAGATTGAGAAATAGGAAACATTGGGTGCGTCGACACTCTTTTGCCGTTTTCCTTAAAATTTTGAGATCTACATGGCCCGACTAATTGCCTAATAAGCTTAGCTAAATAAAAATATTCACCATTACAAAAAAATGACACTCATTACTTGGGGTTCTCAAGAAGTGTGAGAATGTAACTTGGATTTTAATCACAAACTGACACATAGAAAGTGAAGTTGTGGCTCGAGTGTAATTTTTCTTATGCATTTTTACATGGTAACTTCTCATCGCAGTTGTCATGATTTTAACCCGAGATTTACCTTTTGTGGCACCCCCTATCTAGCCGGTTGAACTCCGCCAACCGACGCCCTTAATTTCTAGTGTATAGTACTCAGCTCCCTTCGTCCAAATATTATCTTCAAACTTTTTTTTTCGTCCGTCCCAAAATTATTTCATCTTTTCCTCTTTGGCAAAGTTTGTGTTTCACGACATTTCTTACACATTCTTCTCTTATGCACACCACCTTACAATACCCACTATTTTAATCATATCCACGTGTCATTTGTACTTCAGGAGATAAATTAGGGGCATAGGGAGTAACTTAATTGGCTACCGTGAAGTATACTCGATCGGCTGAAATTGTTAAATATCAATTGGACGAAACAACTACATTGGTTGAGTTATGAAAAAATATTTATATTTTATTAAGCAAGTACATTTATAATTTGATTAAGTTTACTGTCAAACCAGATTTGAGCAAACTTATATAGATCAAATCATATCAGACCGCACCAGACCAAATCAAGCATAAACAATCGTAAAATGCACATACGCCACATATTAGAGCACGTTTAAAAAGAAGGAATCAGACTAGAAATTTTTAATCCAATTAAAAGCACTTTAAGTTAATATAAAATTAAATGAAAACGACAAAATAATTTTCTTTGGCAAAGTCAGACACTATATAAATATATGTATATATGTATGTAAATATTGTTATCGCTGATCTAAAAATCGATCTAGACGCCCAACTAGATAGTTCTCGCCTAAGCGCTAGGCGGTGGCCGAGATCCTCGGTTTTTGTTTAGGCGCACCACTGTTTGGTTTGGTGCCTAACTAGCTGAATTAGTCGGTCATCTAGGACGCCTAGTTTCCCGCCCAGAACGCCTAATCGACCACCTAGGTAGGGCCTCTAGATTCAGCGAACTTTTTATTGCTTTTTAATTTTCTTTTTCTAAAGGATATATGTATTTTTAATTTCAACCACGGATTTTTCTAAAGGATATATGTATTTTTAATTTCAACCACGGATTTTTCAAAAGGTGATAAGTTAATAACTACATATGTTTGCTAGGTATAATTAAATTTTATGATTGTCTAATATTTATAACATAATGAAGTTAATTGACTAGTTATCATATATGTAGTATTATTAAATGTGACAATTTTATTAATTCATACATCTTAGTGTGTGTGTTTTATACACACACAAACACAATATATCCTATCATATTTATGCAAAAGAAATTGATAAAGATTTCATTTTTGTATCTGTGACTAGTTCCCGTCTAGGCACTTGACACCCCAACTAGCGCGTTTTAGAACATTGATTGTTACTCCCTCCGGTTTTATTTAATCTTCACACTTTGACTTCACACAAAATAAGGAAAGAAATTTGACTTTACTGTAAAGTACACTGTTGAAGCACTGTTTGACACTGTTTGGCACTGTTGAGACACTGTTTGGCACTGTTGAGACACTGTTTGGCACTGTTTTGATGTAGATTTCTTTGTCAAAAAAAGAAACAAGAAGTGTGAAGTTTATTTTAGACCGTCCCTAAAAGGAAAGTGTGAAGTTTATTAAAAACCGGAGGGAGTATTAGAAATGTAAACTCAGTTTTCATTTCATTTTACCTATTCATTTACACAAACTTGTTTCAGCCATTTTTCAAAAAAAAACTTGTTTCAGCCGTGGGCCGGTTTTTAAATATATCAACTAAAAGGAGGTGCGGTTGGGCCAGATCCGGCTCATGGCAACGTGAATTCTTAAAAAATGCATTGATGCATATACAAAATGAATGTTGATGTTAAAATGTGTTATGCAATGCCAATGTCTTTATTATGTGCGGTGGTGAGCTGGAAATTAAAAAACCCACCCTGTGGAGTCGAACATGGGATTCTAGAAAGCCTATTATGGAATTAAATTATGGAATTTTATGTTTTTAGAGATAGATTACCGAACTTTTGTAGCGGTGACCGAAAACAACGGATTGGGATGCTCTACCCGACTAGAAGGGTGCCTTGCGCATCGGACGGGAGGGGAGCGGCCAACACGGCCTCGAGATCGGCGAAAAAGTGGAGCTCAAGATCTCCGACCGTTGAATTGTCGATCGGACGACCAGGAGGAAGCAAGACAGTCTACCTTAACTCTAAAGTAAGGTAGAGGCTCCGGACCCGAAAACAACAGCACACCACATTGAATTATTGGATAACTGCAAGAAATTGGTTACTCCATATTCTCCAAAACTTTATCCTCTTAACTAAAAAACTAAAGAACAAGCTACGTACACAATGTATAAAATTTGTATTAGACTCATTTTTCCCATTCCATATCAGCCATTCGAGTTTTTGGACCACTTGAAGGATCCACTAGAACGGATGAGTACATAAACCCAGACTGCCTACTGCTAGAACAACTATAAAACAGGACCACTTAAAACTTACAGTCTGGACTCTGGATGGAGGTTGGTTTCCGGGTTTCGATTACTAGTATCCCACCCCTAGATTAAAGAACATACTACTCCGTACAAAATAAATTGACTTGAGAGAAAAGATACATTAAAAATAATCATAAAGTGCCGGTACAGATTATAAGAAATATTACATTCAAAAACTGAAGCGCAAATGTATTTGGATTCACAGAAGTAACAATGAAAAATTCATCTGCCAAAAAATCATTTGATGTGTACACCCTCCCATTCACAAATCCTTGTATAGCAAGTATATAATTGTATAAGAATAATTTTCCACTTCCAAGCTATAAAAGAAAACAAAAGAACCTTTGAATGACAAAACTTTTCTACTTCTATCATCTACAAGTAATGCAACTACAAATTTTGGAGCTTGGGAGGTGAAAAGAATGGATTACCAACACCTTTGGCGCACTTTCAGTGAGTGGCACAACTTTGAATATAAGTGTCACTCTGGTTTAGGTAGTGTTCCCATATAGGCTTATACCTGCTGATGCCCAACTTCCCCCATGGCTTCATATTCCCGTTGAAATGAATCACCGCCGCGATATCTAAAAGCCGGTTATCAATGTCGGGGTCATAGCCCAACCCCAGAACATGCCACCTCCGATCCAATGGCTCGATCAACCCATAAAACGTCAATAAAGCAGGAGGAAGTATCCCAAGCTTCCAGATAGTCCTGTCAGCATTCTGCTCTACCCAATAATGGTATCTACCAGTCACGTTTGCTCTCTTCCAAGCAATCAAATCAAACACATTCAGCCCAAATGCCCACCCGCATGCCTGCGGGTCGAACTTAGAGCTGATGAGCGGGTTTGAGAAGTTGACATGCTTGTGAAGGAAGTGAAAACCTTCAAGACAAGTTTCCACTGCTCCATTCACATTACCATGCAAATCTAGTAAAAAGAGTGATGCCAGATCCTTCTGGACAATGACATCGTCTTCTAGGAAAACTACCTTCTCCAATTCAGGATATATTTCCGGGACGTAAAACCGGAGGTGAGTCAACAATGACACATACTTTGACTTTTGGTAAATATCCGTAGTAATATCTTTGATGACAGGCGAATAAGAAGCATTTAACCAAGCAAAGTCTTCAACTTTTTGCACTTCAATTGTTGACCCTTTAAAATCATTTCTTAGGAACCATGCCTGCATTGCCCCATAGTTTATCTCATCCGTGACTATGTGGAAAATGAACTGTTGGGGATGGTCAGCATTTGAAACGGTCGAATTAATAACAACCGAAACTGCCAGCAGATTGTCCGAGAATATGCAGAAGTGGTACAGATTATTGTCCACCAACCGAAGAGAGTTTTGAACCTCATCTGCAAGATCTTGCAGAGGCTGTTTTTTGAGCCAATCAGCAGTGAGCTTAATGTCTAAGCAGTGCATATTTCTGGATATTGATTCAGCACTTAACAGTCCAAACACTTCCTTTTGTACAAATGCTGCATCTGCACGCTCCTCTAATGCTTGAATATGTGATTTCATTGTTTCCATTGTGGTGGCGATGTCATAGTGTGCGTCTTGTGCCTTGAAGATTAAAGATGAGAGGCTTCTAATGATTGGCTCTGCTTCGTCTAAAGAGATTGGCTCCTCCCTTGTTGCAGCCTTTGAAAGCAAAGATTGGCAGCTTCTAATCTTTGAGCTAAGCTGCCATGCAAGATGAAGATTATTGTTCTCCTTCGCAATAATTACATAAGCTTTGGCAAGTGTCATTTGCTCTATTAATTGCCTGGCGTAGGATCTGGCACTCAAAATTTCTTGGGTAAAATTAAGAGGCTCGTGTATAACCTGTGCATTTTCCGAACCATCTCTATCCTGCAAAGAGATAAGTCATTACCATTCCACACCAGACAATAACAAGAGACACAACTTATCATAATGTTTATAGGTTTAAAGCGCCAAACCCCTCTGCCCTCGTGATATACAAATTCTGCATACTAGTCCCTTGTGATTAAAAAATGTGTCAAATCCCTCTTTGTTATAGTCAGTCAAGTACATAACACCCTGAAGCAACAAATTTAGCAGTTTGAAAACTACATATGTTATGATTGAACATGCAAGTAAATTTGGCAATATCTCTAAATTAAATAAAAATACTAATCATTTTTACTTTATTCGACAATAAAATTTGTTCTTGAATAGGAGATAATGCGCATAGCTTATAGATCACAAGGGGGTTTGACAAAATTTAAACCCTACATTTTATCTCCAAAAGTTAAAAATAAAAATATGTAAACTATGACTAAAAAGTAACATACTACAAGATAAACTGACTTGAGAGAAAAGATATACCCCATATTAAAAAAGAATCATAAAATGCCAGTAAGGATTATACGAAATAATACATTCAAAATCTGAAGCACAAATGTCACGCATCCCAATACTTTAGAACAATAGAACAACAAAGGCACAAAAGACATGACCACCCATTATGCGGCGCCTGGAGGAGTTATTGCAAGTTTCTTTAGACAAATCTATTTGGATCCGCAAAATTAACAATGAAAAACTCATCACCAAAAATACAATGATAATATTAATATTTTAAGAATAAAAAATTATTACAAGCGTAAAAAATAAAAGCAGTAGTATTGGTAATTTGAAAATATAAAACCATATAACATACTGTAGAATTGAAAGTGGCATTTTATAGCTTTTAACTGAAAACTTGTTTTCAAGATCAAAATATCCAAGACAGTAGTAGTCCACACTCCACATTACACGAGCAGTAGTAGTGTAGTACTCATCACTCAACAATGACATTGAGCTTAATACCATGCTTGCTACTCTTTCCATAACTAAACTAAAGAGAAAAAATGAATCAGAGAGCCTCTGTAAAGTTCCAAGCCAGGCATTCAGATGCAACCTTAGCACCATGCCTATGTGTGTGCATCTAAAATTAATTAGTCAAAGTTTTCGATTGTTCTTTTAAGAATCATGGGCAAGTAGAAGTGTAAAAACAAGTCCGTCATTTAGAGATGATGGGATAAATCCATTGTTTACACATTTAATACAGTTCAAGAACTCAAGGGCCCTTCAAAGTTCAAAACTGTTAAACCTACCTGTTCAAAAACTGAAGCTTTGTTTCATTGTAAAACATGAAACTACAGTAGGCAGTTTAGCGGTTTTGAAGTACTGTGGTGATACTATGTTTCATGCTAGTCTAAACAAAACTTAATGTTCGGCATGTGGGGACACAGTCGAAGTTCTGGACCGAAACTGAAACTGTTGGTTTTATAGTCTGAAACCTAACATACTCTCATTCTAAATCAGAAACGGTGTTAAGATGGTCCATTTCTAGTTAATCTTTGCATGGACCGAAATCCAACTTTGATATATATTTCTTTTGAATATGTTATATTCCAGTTTGAAACCATCTATACGGGCAGAAAGTGCTCTACAAGAACTGAACCGAACGTATAATTTGGACACATGAACTAGTCGGGCTCACAATGGGCCAAACCCAAACTGAGCCGGTCCAGTTGTGCCACATACCGCTACCTTCAAAAAAGTTCTAGGTACACCACGGGGTAAGATCAAAGGAAAAAAATGTAGGCACGAAACAATGACTAGCAATTGCTTAAAACCAAGTTGTATACTAATCGAATTGAAGTTCATTCCAAGGTCACACTCAATTTTCTTGAAAAGGTTAATCATGAAATACAAAATGTTTGGAAATAAATCAGCTTTATCCACATTGCAGAACTAAGGAAGTTAGAGTAGGATTCTGAAGATGCAGGCGTACCAAAATAGGGTGTTCAACGCGATCCCTGCGATCATACTGATGATGCATGACAAACAAAAAGCATCCGGCGATCAAGAATATTCCGAGCAGCGCCCAGATCCAAAAAGTCAGGCTCCTCCGAACCGGGCGCCGATGATAATCGGCCGCCCGCCTCCGCATCTTTCACCGCCCTCTTCCACAATTCACCGCCGTAGCAAGAACCCCAAAGAGACCATCTGAAAATTGAACCCAGATTAGCCTGCGACGCCGTACCAGATAACAGCAACTCAAATCCTATTCCTATACTCCTCTCGCGCCAAAATCATGACTCCTGAAAACGACCAGAAATTATGAATCTTGAAGCGAACCCATTTCTCAGCTTCACTCACGACACCCACTTTTGGGTTCCGAGAACGGGAAATCTCAATTTGATCTCTAGCCAATGAAAAGAGGTAGCTTTGTATTGAAGTTCAAGTTGAGAATATCAGAGGAGCAGAGTAGAGGAGCTTTTTTCGATAAAGCAAACGTCACTGAGATTCGCCCTTTGAATTGGCCGATTGATCTTACAAGATCGATCGGGCTGGCTGAAGGGGGTGATTAGCGGAGAAAAGAAATGCGATTAGAGATGGTATGCATATTATTAAGCTGCTACTAGTAAAGGTAACCAAACGGACATTTACAAAATTACTATTAAAGAGATCATAAATTGTACCCAAAAAATTACGACATCATAAAACTATGTATTGTTTCAGCTTATGGAAGGAAGCGGTACATGACTAAAATGTCTGCCATGGATGGTTTCTTTTTTTGTTCATTGTGATGATGAAGGCGTAATGTGCAAAATTCACACACCAAGGACAACGGAGCACATGGCTTTTGACCTGTGATCCATGCACCCTTCTGTTATGTGTGGAATGTCGGTAGTTTAAAAGACCACACAGTTTGAATTTAATTCGTTAAAACTGTTTTTTTTTGAAGGGGTCGTTAAAACTGTTTTAATTAAAATTCTTGATATATTTTAAAGAAAATCCCTCAACACGACTAAAACATTCACAAAGCTCATAAATAGAACTATTTAATGTTTTATTTCCGATTCAATTAGTCTTATTTTGGGAAGTTTTAATCACAATACTTTTTAATACGATTAAATAATAAGTCATATTTGGCGAATAGGCGAATAAAACATTATAAGTCGCATTTTTTAATTTGTGTATGTTTTGTTTCATATTGAGCAATTTCAATATTTTAGTTTTATTCATATCAATATTTTTGTAAAGTTTATAGTCACAAATAAAATCGTAAAATTTATACTATGGGTAATGTCCTTTTCTTTTCCTTCATTTTTCTGATTCTTTCTTCAATTATTTTCTCATTCTCCATCAAAACACTAAACAATTAATTGTGATTTTACTTTTTTTAGTCTTCGACATAAACTACAACTCAATTTATTTGTTTGCAATAATTTTTCATATTCATAGACTTTTTGTAATATTCCGTGCATTTTTTTCATATTCACACTTTTTCTATAATAGATTCTTATCTCATTTATGGATAGTATGTTTTTAGTGTTTTTCAAGACAATGAGTATGTTTACTTCGATTTACATTTGATAAAACATGAGATTACATTCACATATGTGCAATTTTCATGTCCACATGTGCTACTAATGTGACTTACATTTACACATGATTTATGAAGTTACATTTGATAATACATGAAGTTACATTTTCTAATTTGATTTACATCTTTATGTCACGACTCACGAGTTACATATTCTTATGCGCAATCTACATCTTCATGTGCGTGAGTTGCATTTTCATATGACGAATTACATTTGAACATGCTCCAACAAGTTACAATCTCATTTTTTCATACACGCGATTTACATTTTTCATCAACACAAATTACATTTGTCATAGCGAGTTACGCCACAAAATAAATCTCTGCTATTGAAACAAAACAAAAAAATCAATATTCACGCGTGCCTTAGTTGCGGCAGTATGATTTTTTTAAAATATACTCCCTCCGGTTTTTAATAAACTTCACACTTTTCTTTTTGGGACGGTCTAAAATAAACTTCACACTTCCTTATTTCCTTTTTTTGGCAAAGAAATCTACATCAAAACAGTGCCAAACAGTGTCAAACAGTGCCTCAACAGTGTACTCTACAGTAAAGTCAAATTTCTTTCCTTATTTTGTGTGAAGTCAAACTGTGAAGATTAAAAAAACCGGAGGTAGTATCATTTTCATAACTCTAATATTAAAAACAAAACATATTTACGTAAAATAATTAAGCAATTAGATTAGATTCCATTTTTTCATTGTTTACATTGAAATCAATGTTTTATTTTCTATACTTCATATTAGACAACTTACATTTCAACTTGCCTTGAGTTACATTTCCCAACAACGTGAGTTACTTTTATTTAAATGCGAGTTACATCAATACTTAAACAAAAAACACAAGCTAATGTCCACGCGTGTTTTAGCTGCGAGAGTATAATGCTCACGGTGTGCTACTCCCACAATACAACGACTGAGCATCTCCTTTGAGATAGTGTAGTGAAGTATATACAATATGACATAAGAGAAAGATGGAGATAAGATGATTATTTTAATTTAATATAGAAAAAGAATTTATAGGGAAAATGGAAAAGAAGAGAGATAGAACAAAGTGTAAATAACGTCTATGACAATGTTCATACATGAACATTGAACACTCCAAGTAAGTCTTTCTCGATACATAAAATGCCAAACCTTTAAAGTTTTCTTGTGACATTGAACACTCCAAGTAAGTCTTCAATAGTTTTAACTTTGTCTCCACTTTTTTCATCAACTAGGAAATATCAATTGGTAAGATAATTTGTTGTTTTATTTATATAGTGAGGAGTATTTCTTACTTTTAACTTCATTTTAGGGTATGTTTGGGAGTTTGGAGGAAAGGGAAGGAGAAAACTTAGAAGGTTAGTTCTCATAGGGGAAGGAGGGGAAGGAGAGGAATAATAATTAAAATCACTTTAAAGTTTAAACATATAACGAAGTTGCAGAGTTGAACTTATATTCATTTTCGATTAAGTTAAATATTCATTTTTTATTAAGTTAGAGTTATAATTTAGTTTCCCAATTTGGAGGAACTAAAAATTGAGAATTTAGGGGGTTTTGAAGGATCACCACCCTCTAACCCATGCCTCCCAATTTTGTAACCCTCCAAATATGGGTGGACTAGGGCCGGGTGGCCCGACCCGGAACCGGCCCGGCCTGCCACTGTTCCGGCCCGGTCGCTCGGTCAGGGACCGGTCCGGGTAGGCCCGACACGAGGTGATTCTGGTCCGGGCTCGGGCCCCTCAAAACGTGAACCGGCCCGCCCAGTCCGGGCCATTTTAATTTTTTTTTTTTGAATTTTTTTTAAAGTTTTTGGATTGGGCTGGGTATTTTCGGCCATTTGAGGTGGTTTGGGGTGGTTTGGGTGTGAGGGGGGTGGGGTTGGGGGTTAATTAGGAAAAGGCAAAAAATAAAAATAAAAATCTCCGAGGCCCAGCCCGGCCCGACCCGGACCCGGGGGTTACACGGGCCGGTTCCGGGCCCTCCAATCCAGGACCGGAGGTCCGGGCCCGGCCTGAACCGAGTCCATCCATACCTCCAAATCCTTTCCATCCCCTTCAAAATATAATTCCCAAACATACCCTTAGAGAATGACGAAATATATTAACGGATGATGGGTACATTCAATGGGACATAACCTACAACTATTGGATCCATCGCAGTCTTAAAAAGAAAAAAGATAAGTAGCAAGACAGAGTGCAAGTGTGCAAGTCAACATAAATTGCAAGCGTTTCTAATGTCACGTATCTGATTGTTTAACATTGCCCCAATTAAAATATCTAAAAAAAATAGGGTTTCTGTCAAACGCTTATTAAGGGGGGAACATAAGCTCCATAGAGCCACAACTCCCTCTCAAAGAACAAAATAAATAAAAGATATGAACAATATGAATTAACGAATGTGTGGGGGGACCACGGTTTACTACGAATCAAAGATTACCAGATTTCAATTTCACTATGACCATCTTCAGTGGCACAAGCTCTGAACATACCGGTTGTATTAAATGGCATGGTGACCTCTCCTGTGGCAGAAACCGCAATAAGACCAGCAGTTCCTTTTGGAGTACACTGGTTTATGACGTAATCAGCCGCCTCGTTGACAGAAATCCCTTTGAACTCCATGAGGGCGGCCACATCTCTTGCCACAGTGGCACGGATAATAGATTCACCTTTACCGGTCGCAGATACTGCACAGAACTGGTTGGCGTATGTGCCAGCACCTATGATGGGTGTGTCACCAATCCTTCCAACCATCTTGTTCACTAATCCTCCAGTAGAAGTCGCAGCAGCCAAACATCCATTACCGTCAACAACTACACATCCAACAGTCCCAATCTGGCTATCCCCGATAGGAATTGTTTCACCCTTCTCAACTCTTGGCAATGGTGCAGTATAATCGATCTTGCAATTATAAAATGGAAGAGAGAATTTCACTTTTTGTCCTTTGCTATAATTTATTTTTGGGTAAAATAAATAATATACCCCAAACTTTGCCTTAGTGTGAGCTCCCCACCCCGAACTTGTCCTAGTTTAATAAATACCCCCAACTTTATTTATTTAAATTTTTTGTACCATATTTTAATTAACAAATAATATTTCTCAAATTATATTATGTTAATTAGATTTAGTTGTAAAAAAAAGATTAATTAACATATTTTTTGTACTTAAATTAGAGATTTTGAAGTTATTTAATCAATTCGAAAAGCACACATTAATTTGGGAATCACACATCTTTTTTTGCCCACTAAATCTAATAAAAATATTACAATTTGAGAAATATTATTTGTTTATTAAAATATGGTACAAAAATATTAAATAAATAAAGTTGAGGGTATTTTTTAAACTATGACAAGTTTGGGGTGGGGAGCTCACACCAAGGCAAAGTTCGGGGTATATTATTTATTTACCCCTTTATTTTTCATTTTAGGCTTCCACTTCAATAAGGATGCCCATCTTGATGCTCCACCTCAAAAAGGATTCCACTTTGGTCATCCATTAGGTTTGAGTTAGATGAATGATAATTTGGAGGATATAATGAAGATGGAAAGCTTTGGGTCAACAATCAACATTGCAAGACAATTTGACACTGCTGAGGCTTCAGCAAAAAAAGATGATTTTTTATGCAAAACGAAGAAGAGATTACAACTTGTAATACAAGGAAACTTGCCCTCATTTGGTACAATAAGGTTAGCAAGGACCAAAGAGACAACTAAATAAAGGAATAACGCTAAATAATGATAATTACCATTATGCCCCTGAAATTGAGGTTTAGTCCTACCAGATGACCAAAAGTGGAAACATTTTATTACTCAAGTATGAAAATTGTTCAATTTTGAAATGCGATGACCAGATATGCAAAAAAAAATATAGATGAAGGACAAAGTGTAAGATCATAGGTGCCAGAATATTTTGCGTGCATAGACTGCTCTATAGATATGCAATAGAATAATCTACTTGCACAGTTGCACAAGAGGGTAATAACTTAACAGAGTTTGAACCATGATCAATATGCTGAGCTTCATCAGTATAGGTGCAAATTTTCAACTTGACAACTTATAAAGATTAATACAATAAAATACATGTATAGATAAAAAAAAAAAAAAAAAAAAAAAAAAAAAAAAAAAACAGGCTTATTAGAAAATGAAATGCAGACTGAATAGGAATGAATCAATCTTATTAATCTCAAGGTAGTTTACAAGTATTTATAGTACAGAGTATAGAAGCAGATTACCAACTAACTGAGTTAGCTATAACAGACTAACAACTTGTAACAATACTTTTCAAGTATTCGTATACTACTCCTAACATTCCCCCCTCAAATTTAGGGTGATTGATTTGGAAAATCAGTCACACTAAGTTTGGATCTGAATTCAAGGAAAGATGAAGAAGATAATGGCTTTGTGAGAACATCTGCAATCTGTTGAGGAGCTGGAATGTGAAAAACTTCAAGTTGCTTGGACTGAACCTTTTCCCTGACAAAAAAGAGATCAATCTCCATGTGTTTGATACGAGTGTGAAGAACAGGATTATGTGCTAGCTGTACTGTGCTGAGATTATCACAGAATACCCTTGGAGTAGTAAATGGTACTTGAAGTTCTTTAAGGAGAAACTGAATCCACAAAAGTTCAGAAGATGTGTCTGCTAAGCTTCTATACTCAGCCTCTGCTGAGGACCTTGCCACTTTTAATTGTTTCTTTGACCACCAAGATATGATGTTTGGACCAAGAAAGATACAAGAGCCAGATGTGGACTTTCTATCAACAGGATCAGAAGCCCAATCAGCATCACAGAATGCTGAAATGGGTAAAGGAACCTTTCTCAGGGGAATAGGTTTAATAAGAAGACCATGGGTGAGAGTACCAGACAAGTATCTAAGAATATGTTTAACAGCTTTCCAATGATCTTGTAAAGGTGTGGCCATAAATTGACAAACTTTATTCACAGCATAGCTAATTTCAGGTCTAGTCAAGGTAGCATACTGTAAGGTTCCAACTATGGATCTGTAGGTAGATGGATCAGGGATAGGATCACTTCCAGTGTTTGTGAGTTTGCAGGTACTGATCATGGGTGTTTGGACTCCTTTAGAATCAAGCATGCCAACTTTGTGTAGTAAGTCCCTCAGATATTTGGTTTGAGAAAGATGCAGATTGCCATTCCTTAGTTTTCTGACCTCAATGCCAAGAAAGAAGTCAATTTCCCCCAGATGTTTTAGAGAGAAAGAGGTGTGGAGTTTGCTGATAAGATTTTGAACTGCTGTGGAGTTATTTCCAATAACCAAGATGTCATCAACATAAATGAGAATGTAGATTTGGATGTCAGGAGATAGAAAAAGGAGTAGAGAAGGATCACAGGTACTCTGTTTAAAACCAGCTGCATAAAGAACAGAAGTTAGCTTATGAAACCATGCTCTAGGTGCCTGCTTTAGACCATACAAGGACTTATGGAGTTTGCAGACAAGAGAAGTATCTTTAGATTGAAACCCAGGGGGTTGAACCATGTAAACCTCTTCATCAAGAGTCCCATTAAGGAAAGCATTGTTTATATCAAGCTGTTGAACAGGCCAGTTGTGAGACACAGCCAAAGTAAGAAGTATTCTGATAGTTACAGGCTTAACAACAGGTGAAAAGGTTTCATTGAAGTCAAAGCCAAACCTTTGATGAAAGCCCTTAGCCACTAATCTGGCTTTGAATCTATTCAGAGACCCATCAGGATTCTCTTTCACCCTGAAAACCCACTTACAGCCAATAGCTTGCTTGTCAGGAGGTAGGGGAACCAAGGACCATGTTTTATTTTCCATTAGAGCATTATATTCAGTCTGCATAGCATTAAACCACTGAGGAGATGAAAGAGCCTGCTTAACTGATTTGGGCTCAGTATGAGTCAACAGCAAGGTAGGATTGAGTCTAGGTTTTACAATTCCTGATTTAGCCCTAGTTTGCATAGGATGAGTATTAACAAGAGGAGGAGGCATAGAAGATGAAGATGAGAAGGAAGATGAATTAGAAGATTGTTGAGAGGGCTGTACCTCAGTCTGAGTAGGAGGAGAATGTGAGGATTGATGTGAAGTATGAGAAGGAAGATGACTTGATGAATTCTGTGAAGGGGAAGAGAAAGATGACATGGGTGGATCATTGTTCTGAAAGGCATTAGATGTTGAATCACTGTGAGTAGATACAAATGAGTCAGAGGAATTGTCTGGTGGAGGAGAATGTAATACAGTCAAAGGAGTTGAAACTGATGGTGCAGGATGTGATAGACTTGTGGTCTGAGATGGAAAGAGGGTGGGATAGGGGAACTTGGATTCATGAAAGGTAACATCCCTGGAAATATAGACTTTTCCACACTTAGACAGACACTTGTAACCTTTGTGTTGGGAAGAGTAACCAATGAAAATGCATTCCTCAGAATGAAAATCCATCTTGTGTTTGTTATAAGGTCTGATAAATGGGTAGCAAGAGCAGCCAAAAACCCTAAGAAAGTTGTAGTCAGGAATTGAACCATAAAGTTTGAAGTAGGGGCTGGAATTGGCAATGGATTTTGATGGTGTCCTATTAATAAGGTGAACTGAGGTTGCAAAGGCAGTATCCCAAAATTTAAATGGCAAAGAAGAGTGAGCAAGTAATGACAGACCTTTTTCAACAATTGTTCTATGTTTTCTCTCAACAACACCATTTTGATGGTGTGTGTGAGGGCAGATTATTCTGTGGGTGATTCCTTTTTCTGTGAGAAAGTTTGTGAATGATCTGAATTCCCCTCCCCAGTCAGACTGAACAGACTTAATTGATGCAGAGAACTGGTTTAGAACATATTGATGAAAGTTTTGGAAGGCAATAAGGGCATCAGATTTCTTTTTCAGAAAATAAATCCAGGTGTACCTAGTATAGGCATCAATGAATGCTATGTAGTAAAGGTATCCATCAAAGGACAATATAGGAGCTGGACCCCACAGATCAGTGAAAATTAACTCAAAAGGTTTGTGAAAAACAGTATTAGAAGAATATGAAGGTAATCTGTGTGCTTTTCCAAGATAGCAAGCAGAACAGAAACTTATATCACTTTTATTGCTTGAATGAACATTACAATGTTGAAGTACAGATTTAAGTGCCTCAAAATGAGGATGCCCTAGCCTTAAATGCCACAGATTACATGAATTTGAAGAACTACATGTTTGAGAGTTATTACAAACTGCAGGCTTATTACATGTAGTTGTGAAAGAAAGGGGATACATGGGTATATTTTTAGAAACAACTGAAGTAGACTGACTTGAACCAGCAGATGGAGCAAAAGAGATAGATGAAAACTTGTATAGACCATCTTCACCAAGTACTCCATGTAACAACACTTGTTTAGAAACCTGAGATTTTACATAACATTCATGAGGATGGAACTCAAAGAAAACGTTGTTATCCCTAGCAAACTGGCTAACACTTAGTAGATTTCTGGTTATGGATGGAACATGAAGAATATTATGTAAATGAAGTAAGCAAGAGGAGTGATAGGGTGAAGAAAAGGAAGAAAAACCTATAGACTTTATATCCACACCTTGTCCATTGCCCATAAAGAGCTTTTCAGTTGTAGCAAATGGCTCACTATGTTGGAAGTTCATAGGATCAGCAGTTACATGATGTGTGGCCCCTGAATCTGGGAACCATGCCTGATTTGAAGGAACTGGGCCAAGTATAGAAGAGTTAGCACTAGCAACAGCAGCAGTAGGTTGATGATATCCTGAATTGAAACTTTGTGGAATTGAGTTTGTAGAAGGTTGATGCCATTGTTGAACAGCATTGGCAGATGAAGGTTGAGGTTGATAGAAGTTAGGTCTAGGTGTGTAAAAGGGGTGTGGAGGAGGTTGATTTGATGAATTTGGAGTCCAATAGTTAGAAGGTGAAGATCCATAGTTGGCAGTTGTAGAACTATCAGCAGGATTAACAGGAGAATTGAAATTTGGATTGGTATAGGCTGGATTATAGCGGTGGTAGCAGATTAATGCGTGATGACCTGGTTTTCCACACACTTGACAGGTCACAGAGTATCGTCCTCCAGAGCGGCCTCCACGACCTCTGAATCCTCCACGACCTCGGCCACGATAGGAATTATTGGTATTAGGGTTATCAAATTGAACAATGTTGGCAGAAGTGGTCTCAGAAATAGCAGCAGTCGTAGATGAGTTGATTTGAGGGGATGATTCAACTCGAGCGATATTGGCAGAGAAGATGTTTTGTTGAGTAGAATCGCGAAGCTTCTTGAGACGCATTTCCTTCATCAGAAGCATCGGTTCAAGCTCAGAAACTGTAACAGGGTCCAAATTGTTGCGAGAAGTTACAGATGATACAATAGACTCATACTCTTCAGGGAGACCTTCGAGAATCACATTTACATGGTCTTTGGTGGATATTGGTTCCCCTGCTTGCATGAGATTGTCCACAATCGTCTGAATACGAAGTAGATACTCGGCAATTGATCGTTCTCCCTTTCCAGTATTGTAAAGTTCGGATTTAAGCTGTCTGGCTTTCGCGACGATGTTGGAGTGGAAGAATTTACGAATCGCACTCCACAGTTCATGCGATCGTTGACAATGAATAAACCTAGCATGGAGTGATTCCGTCAGAGATGAGAGAAGCCATGAGAACAGCATTTGGTCCTGTTGATCCCAGACGATATACGCTTCATTCACTTTCTTAGTTCCTTCATCATCTGCAATGAATTCCTCAGGAATTTGTGGCTTCTCGACAAATCTGAATAATTTGTGTGCACGAATTACAGCTTCAACGTGATGCTTCCAGAGAAGATAATTGTTCGAGTCAAGTTTAATTGTCAGGGGATGAGAGAACGATACTGGAAAAACTGCATTTCCAGTAACTGAGGAAGAAGATGACGTCGAGTCAGGCATGGCCAAAGATTCGAGCAGGAGCTAAAGCTCTGATACCATATTAGAAAATGAAATGCAGACTGAATAGGAATGAATCAATCTTATTAATCTCAAGGTAGTTTACAAGTATTTATAGTACAGAGTATAGAAGCAGATTACCAACTAACTGAGTTAGCTATAACAGACTAACAACTTGTAACAATACTTTTCAAGTATTCGTATACTACTCCTAACAAGGCTTATCTAATGGTTCAAGGTCTAAGAACAGATAGCAAGTTGGTATTACCTCTTAAGTGCATAATACCACACCAACAATTTGTCAAACCAAAAGAGTCAATACTTAAAAGGAAGCCCGTCCATGTTAGTGTCTCCCGGTTCAGTTATTAGATTATATAGTCATGTGAATCCAATGCCCTAGCATGGATCAAACTATATCCATAAAAGATTATCAATCCCCCTTACCATCTTATCCTAGGATAGGACAGGTAGACGACCAATCCTAAAGGGATTGTCTACAGAAATTAATAGATGTCTCCAATTTAACGATGCTAGATAGCTGGATTTCAGAAATAGGTCAAGGCCTTAGAAAATATCTCATGGCACCTCAGATCATAAGGGGTGTCTTTTCCAACCACCCATAATTTATAATCATGCATATAAGACTCAGCTTGGAAGAAAACAAATTAAAATTAAAGCAAAAATGAAGTACTATTGGTCAAAGTAACGTTTTAAGAAATAAAGGTTACTACATACTCTTAAGAAATAGAGAATAGAAGCAGATGATAACCATTACACAAAGCAGAGTACTAATTTTTTATCTTTGAAGCTAATGGAGGATGGAGGACACATACGTGTGGACAATTGATCTCTTCTCTTCCTTTATCTCTTTTATCTTTTATCTATCTTATGTTCTTATGTTATTTTTATCTTATCCATCTTATCTTGCCTTATCTTTTTATTTTTCTTATCTTTCTTCTCTTTTTGGCTCTGATATTATGGATCGATTCATGTTAGCCGACCCCAAAATCTTTTGGGAATAAGGCTTGGATGTTGTTGTTGTTGAAGCTAATGGAAGACAAGTAGAGGGGAAAGCAGCACACCTGAACTCGATTTGCTTCTTTAGCTTGCTTCAGCCTCTCAATATTCTCTGGAGTGATGAAATTGCTAGTATCCAAAGTTTCAACACCCTAGAGAGTACATAAAAGAATGAAAGAAAACTTTTCAAATAAACCAGAAAAATATTTTTGTCAGTGCAGACTGCAGACCTAGTATTCATTCGTTGAAAGTGTCAATGAGGTGCATATCCATTAGAATACACCCATCACAATATGTTCTTTTCCTTTGTTTTACACTGTTTTTCATGCAATGGAATTATGTGCTTGAGATTTGCCCAAAAAACAAAGAAGTCATATAAACCATACATACTCTCCTTGAAAAGAAATAAGAAAGGACTTTTTGGAACAACCCGGAGCAAGAAGAACCTTTTGAAATAAAAAGGAGTATTACTTACCAAATGTCCAAATCTAGATAAATGAGACACATTAAACCAATGCAACTTCTTTTAGCGAATGAGATATAATAATTACGTTTAGCGAATGAGATATAATAATTACAAATTATTAGATGTCTGCCTTTATATGATCATATATTTTCATGAAAGTTGCTTCTCTGTAAGTTTTTCCCCTTCATCCGCCAAATTTGGCAACACTATTAAAATTTATAGTATTTGGACACAGGAAGTAGCCTTGCATATGGTTTAGGAAAAATATGCACCATATTGCATTACACTTTACTTCTAACAATTTAATATAACAGTCCTATGAAGTATAAAATAGGACCAAACAAACCTGTTCCCTTGCAAATGTCTCAGCCCCCTCAAAAGCAAGATATATATGGGGAGTCTTCTCCATTACAAGCCTTGCTAAAGATACAGCATTAACAACTGTGGTGAGACCAGAAACAGCACCACACCTCTTTGTATTTCCGTCCATGATGCAAGCTTCCATTTCTACAGTCCCACTGTTGGTCAAGACCGACCCTCTTCCGGCATTAAAGCACGGAATATTTTCCAGTTCACGAACCTGAAACTCAGCAATACTTGGAAACATTACAGTGTACTCTCAAGATTCAAGTGTAGCATGATACTACCAAGATATGGCATATGTCCAATTGTTATACCATTGAAACACTACACGCATTTTAAGTAGTACTTCATATTTAGTTCTGAATATATTCATTGTCTTTCAAACCTCAGTGCTAAATGTTCATGTTTTAAAGAATTCCATTTGCATTTCAACTGGACAGTAAATGTATGATCATTTTAAAATACCAAATTTCAATGTTAGTTGAAATGAAATTGGAGTACATTGCTAATTGAGAAGGTTCAAAAGAATTCAACAATTTTGAGGAGATTTGTAGAATTCTGTAGAAGTGAAAAGCTATTGTGACATTCCAGAGTTCTCGAGTAACCCCAAACACATCCCGTACACTTGTAAGCCCGTAAATTTTACTGTGTAATAGTCATAATATTGATGGGTTTTTTATCAAATCATTTTATAGCTCAAAGCGTACACTAGATGTAAGCACTCGTGTACTCATTTCATCATAGACTATAAAGTTTCTGAAAAATAGAATTCAGGGGGTGTCCCCAATTTGGATTAAGCATGGCATACAATCCAAGATAGTTAATTTCTTAAAGATCATGTTTATCTCTGTATAGCTTCAGTTCAGATCTGACCAAAATAACTATGGAATTAGTAACAAAGACGATGCTAATAGGAAGGAGAACGTAGACTTTATATGAGCGTGCATACCACGAGTTCAACCACATCCAATGGGGATTTGTTGGCCTTGATGGCGTCGACTCCGATCTCTAAGCAGCGTTGGAGGCCGGCCACTCTTGGCTGACGGCGTTCTGGAGGTAGATTACGGGGAATGTCGCCGGCGCCACCATGCAAAGCGATAGCCCATCCCATGACCGCCACCTACGGTCTAGCTTCACCCTGCTTTGTGCTACTATTTCGAGCCCGTTTGGCAGTGCCCCTGCTGCTGAAATTGTTTTATGAACTTGGATGAAATTGGACATGTGACATTCTAATTCACCAATAGCTCAATTCACTCTAAAACAATACTCCCTTGTCCCTCAATGTCCTAGTTTGACATCACATAAATTAAGAAATGAATTTGACTTTACACTGTAGCGACACTGTTTGACACCGTAGTGACACTGTTTGACACTAGTGGTGGACCCGGTCCGGTCTGACCGGCCCGGAAATCGGCCCGCTACTGTGCGGGACCGGACCGGCCCGGTTGACCGGTCCCGGTACCGGGGATGGGCCCGACCCGGGGTTATACGGGTGGCGGTCCCGGTAATCCAAGGGGTTTAGATGGGCTGGGATGGGTGATTTCGAGGGGTTTGGGGGTGGGGGTAGGGGTTGAAATAAATTTAAAAAAAAAAGTTAAAGGGTCAAATAGGCCTTTGAACTAGTTTAAAGTGTTCAATTAGCCCCTTATATAGGAGGTTCAGTCCGGCCATCGCCAATTGGGGAGGTTCCCGGTGGAATTTTTTGATAAAATTTTTTGAACATCTTCTTGATTAAGTCATACCAATATTCAGTTAAAAATTCAACCGGGAAGGTAGTCAAATGATTTTTTGAAGATAACTGCGCTGTTAAACAGCGCAGTACATTTCGGAAAATCATTTGACTGTCTTCCCAATTTAATTTTTAGCTGAAATATAATATGGGTAAACTAGACTTAATGAAGAAGATGATCAAAAAATTTCATCAAAAATTTTACCGGGAACCTCCGAATTGACGATGGCCGGGCTGAACCTCCTATATAAGGGGCTAATTGAACACTTTAAGCTAGTTCAAGGGCCTATTTGACCCTTTAGCCAAACAAATAACCGGAACCGGTAGCCTACTGGGCCGGTTCCGGTCTACATTCCAACACCTCCATGCCCGGCCGGGCCTAGGCCTGACCCGGAACCGGACCGGGCCCGGTCCATGACTATCTGACACTGTAGCGACACTGTTTGATAAAGATTTGTTTGCCAAATAAGGAAGTTAAAAAGGTAGAACAAACATTTTGGGACTTCCATTTCGGGAAAGTAGGACAAACATTGAGGAACAGAGGGAGTATTTATGAAATTGATTCTGGTGATTCATAAAAAAAAATATTTAAAATATATTTTGTTAATAAAAAAATATGAGAAAACAACTAAAATAATACTCCCTCCGTCCCCTTTTAAATGTCCCGTTTTACCATATTGAGATGTCCCTATTTAATTGCCACATACCTTATTTGGTAAACTTTGTGTGGCTCAAAATCATTCTTACTTTATTCTTACTTTATCAATTAATATCAACCACACAAACTCACTTTTCTTAAAACCCGTGCCACCATCTCCCGTCCCATTTAAAAGGGGACAGAGGGAGTACTATACAATAATACAGCCAGAAAAATAATTCCAACCTTATTTTTTTATTACACCATTCAACGTGCGAAATCAAAAATTACGTGTTTGATATTAAAAAAAATGATTCATAAGCTTTATAAACCAAACAATAAGGTCACCAAACAGGATATTCATACGTTGGCAACCAGCAGTTGTTGGTAGGTTGGGTGAGCACATTGAGTTAGAGCATTAGACAATTAAAAAATGAACGTTTAGTTTATATTTTTTATTTTGAAAATTTTGGTTAAAAAATAAGATCATATTTACTACGGAATATTATTTTATATAATTCCTCGCAAAAAAACAATATTTCATATAATTATTACTATTATTAATTTTAAGGGAAACGTACGGAAAAAGTACTTGTGGTTGGGCCCGTTTTCAGATAGGGTCACGTGTTTACATTCTTTACAAAGTGGTTCTATGTGTTTGAATTCTGTTATCACAAGAGGGTCACGCCGTTAAAAAATCTGAAAAGGACCATTAAAAGTAACTCCGATTTTCAAAAGTACCTGAAAAAATAAAAGAAAAATACCGGAAGGTGCGCCTCAATAAGACGACCGCTAGGTCATCTTTCTTTTTTGTTTTTAGCCACCCTTGTCACTGGAAAGTCCACCGGAAAAGTGATATTAGCGAAATCTTTTTTAAAAAATAATTCAAACAGAACTGAAAAATCCAAAGGTGAAGGTGGTTTGGAGGTCATCTTGACGAAGCGCACTTTTGAAAATAGAAGTTACTTTTAACGGTCTTTTTCAGACATTTTTAACGGTGTGACCCTTTTGTGATAACGGAATTGAAACACATGAAACACTTTGATAAAGAATGAAACACATGACCCTGTCTGAAAACGAACCCAACCACAAATATTTTTTCCGTACTTTTTCCTAGTTGTAATATATATACACATATCATGTATGCGTGCGAGCCATTGGAGCAAACATATACGTTGAATACTTTTTTTGTACTTCATATTAAAATTTTAAATATGATTTTTCTACTAGTTTTAAAATAATTATATAAATAGTGGAAATATTCATAATGATACTTCTTACGAAAATGCTATTTGTACACTGCAAAGTGTACACGTCATTTTACATGTCAATCAAATTGTCTGTGTACAGAAAATTTGACCGACTTTTTGTGAAGAAAATTGGTTTTTGTGCAGACAAAAGAAAAATGTAAGTGTCACATACAAAAAATTGTCTGTGGTACATAGACAATTTTTTTTGTCTATTCAAAAACTAATTTTCTTCATAAAACGCCGGTCAAATTGTCTGTATCATACAGACAATGGTAGTAGTAATAATAGTAATAGTAATATTAGTAGTCCACTACTTTAGTAAGATTTACAATCATGTTCCTTCTAGAAAAGTCTACGTCAAAATGGAGGCGTTGATACTACTCTCTTTGTCCCTATATTATCTCCTCCTTTGAGAATGCACACAAATTAAAATAATGAGTTTTTAGTGGTGGAGAGTTGTGCGGGGAGAGTAAAATGTGTAAAAATGTTTAAGAATGATTGTGAACCACAAATTCTTTATCGAAAAGGAAAAGAAAAAATAATTTTGGATCGGACGAAAAAGAAAAGTTTGATGATAATATGTAAATATGGAGTATTAATATAGGAGGAACATATGATGTACTAAAATACTGAATACTTCCGTTAAAGTTGACTAGGGGAAAAGTAAAACTGAAAAAGCACAGGTGTTTTGATGAGCGATTGATTAGACTCCCTTGCCAGCACCATTCTACAATGATATATATCCGCGATCGATGTCATCGTGATCTTACTCCAACAATTTGATCATGTCATCATCAGGTTTTAAAATCAATGGTTTCTTCCCCAACCAAACCAAAAAGGGCAACATATAAACATAACGGTGCATAGAAGAGAGTAAAGAGTGCAACTGTTTGCATTTTTCAGTAGAAGCACTCTTTTTATTAGAGAGAGAAGCATACCCTCTTCGGGGTGAAAATAGAAAGGTGGTAGTACACTAGTACTTGGTGAATAATGATGATGTGATGACACAGACTTTTAGCAAATAATACGCAGTATAATACTCCATCCGTTCTCTAATACATGTCTGTCTTTCCATTTTGCGATGTTCTCTAATATATATCCCTTTTTATTTTTAGAATCTTTTTTCAATAAATATACCTATATACCCTCATTTTCTTTCCTACTTTTTTCATTTGCATTCCTATTTTTTCCTTTACACACAACTCACTATACCTTTTATTCTACCCCTATTAGAGAACGGAGGGAGTATACGTACTAATATAGCAACACATCAATCGTAAGTTTGATTACATACCATAACTGTAGATACGTAAACAGACATTATAATAATGTAAAGATCATTACATTGAGAAAATGGTTAATGCTTAAGAAACCACGCACAACTCTGAAGATTCCATTACATTAGGTTATATTATGCCTTACAATACTAGCCTAACTTGAACGCAAGTACTCGGAAATGAGCTGACATGTGAATTTCAACTCTATCCATCAATCCCAGAGTAGCAAATTTGACTAATCTTTTGGTGGTGATTGCAAAACACATTTGCTAAGGTCAGACTTGTTCTGCTTGGATAACACCCTGCATAAACACAATGCGGGACCACAAACAGTTTGTGTAGAGTTCACTTGCCTCTTGAAATTCAAATGATAACAGTTATCAGATGTACCTTAAGTATGATTATAGCTGCATCCTTGTGAAGAAACTCGTTATATTCTTCACAAATGGTATTCTGAAACACACCATTAACACGGTGAACTTTAAAAAAAATAGCATGGGATTCTATACAGATGAATATACGGAGTATAATATAGATATGAAATCCCTGAAATATTGGTCATAACTAACTTGTACACAGTTGGGGCAACCAGCATCACCAGAGCAATGACATGATGTGAGAAGTTCCAAGGCAGCAGTCAGAAGCTCAGTAAATAAGGGTTGCATCTACAAAGGTTTGAAGGATCAGATATAATATATTTTGGATAACTGGATCTGTCAAACTAGGACCATTTTGAAACACAATACACACTTAAAGGATAACTAAAGGCCTTTTTATTCTAATATTACTAAAAATAGGATAAAAGATAAAAAAGTGATACTCCCTCCGTCCCTTAAAACTTTGCCAACTTTCCTTTTTTGGATGTCCCACTAACTTTGCCACTTTCTCTTTTAAGTAAATAATTTGTGGTTTCAGTTAATTCTCTCTCCTCTGCACAAATCTCAACCACACAGTTTTTACTTTATTAATCCACGTGCCGGTCAAACATGGCAAAGTTTTAGGGGACGGAGGTAGTATATTTTTTAAAATTCCAAAAATGTGACCAACATCACAATTAACCATGTAGTGCAAAGTGACTCCGGCCCGACCTCAGTGACTGCCCGCCGACCACAGTGACTGCTCCGCCGGTCACAGTGACTGCTCCGCCGCCACAGTGACAGCCCCGCCGCCACGCTGACTCCGCCGCCATAGTGACTCCGGCCAAAGTGACTTCATCCAAAGTGACTTCGGCCACAGTGACACCCAATTCCGGCCACAGTGAAACCCAATCCCGGTCACTGTCTCATGCCAATTCCGGCCACATTAACACCCCCACCACCCCTCCCACACCGCCATCTATGCAAACACCGCC